AGAGATGCAGAGTCCAAGGGAGAGGTTGAAAGTCATCAAAGGGATCACGTCGGGGTCACCAATTATTATATTAAAAAATGACGTGTTCAAAATCCCTTATAAAGATGACCATGATTCAGGAAGTTAAATTCAAAAAGGTTTATTTCCCTAATACAAAAAGAATCTAAAACAGCTGTTCGGACCAAAAGTAACTATCCCTTATTCTCTATATAAAATATAAAAGTATGATTTTGGTGGGCGCTCCACGCAAATCACACTCCTGTCCCTGGTCCGGTCTAGACTAACACAAGCATGAGGTTATTATAAGTAAATGTGCATGAAGAAGAAGGGGGCGTGTCGTATCAGTCAGCTCTTGGTCCAGGGTCCGGCCTCCATCAGGTCTTCTCCGTCTCGCCAGACCTAAACAGAAATCATTCACGCACTACCCCTCCCTAATTCTATCGATTTATTAGTTCCTTTGAGATAAGGCAGAGGGATCTCAAGGCTTCTCCTCCAGATTCTGGACTCCATCTCCTTCTTTCACAACTTGAAAGGATTAGCAGAATCCCCCCAGATTAACTATCATTAACTCACCCATGCACTTTGGACAAAATGGGACAAGGGGAGTTGGGCAATACAAGGTCTTTCTTTTTGCTTGGAGACAGACAGAGTTCAATTTCAGGTCAATCTAATTCACATCGCCTTTTAGCCTATATTTAATACAACAATCCTCAGTCTCTCTCTAGATCCTCCGTCTCTCTGGATCCTCCGTCTCTCTCTGGATCCTCCGTCTCTCTCTGGATCCTCAGTCTCTCTCTGGATCCTCAGTCTCTCTCTGGATCCTCAGTCTCTCTCTAGATCCTCCGTCTCTCTGGATCCTCCGTCTCTCTCTGGATCCTCCGTCTCTCTGGATCCGCAGTCTCTCTCTGGATCCTCAGTCTCTCTCTGGATCCTCCGTCTCTCTCTGGATCCTCAGTCTCTCTCTGGATCCTCAGTCTCTCTCTGGATCCTCCGTCTCTCTCTGGATCCTCAGTCTCTCTCTGGATCCTCAGTCTCTCTCTAGATCCTCCGTCTCTCTGGATCCTCCGTCTCTCTCTGGATCCTCCGTCTCTCTGGATCCGCAGTCTCTCTCTGGATCCTCAGTCTCTCTCTGGATCCTCCGTCTCTCTCTGGATCCTCCGTCTCTCTGGATCCTCCGTCTCTCTCTGGATCCTCCGTCTCTCTGGATCCGCAGTCTCTCTCTGGATCCTCAGTCTCTCTCTAGATCCTCCGTCTCTCTGGATCCTCCGTCTCTCTCTGGATCCTCAGTCTCTCTCTGGATCCTCAGTCTCTCTCTGGATCCTCAGTCTCTCTCTAGATCCTCCGTCTCTCTGGATCCTCCGTCTCTCTGGATCCTCCGTCTCTCTCTGGATCCTCCGTCTCTCTGGATCCTCCGTCTCTCTCTGGATCCTCAGTCTCTCTCTGGATCCTCCGTCTCTCTCTGGATCCTCAGTCTCTCTCTGGATCCTCCGTCTCTCTCTGGATCCTCAGTCTCTCTCTGGATCCTCAGTCTCTCTCTGGATCCTCAGTCTCTCTCTGGATCCTCAGTCTCTCTCTGGATCCTCAGTCTCTCTCTGGATCCTCAGTCTCTCTCTGGATCCTCAGTCTCTCTCTGGATCCTCCGTCTCTCTGGATCCGCAGTCTCTCTCTGGATCCTCAGTCTCTCTCTGGATCCTCCGTCTCTCTCTCTCTGGATCCTCCGTCTCTCTGGATCCTCCGTCTCTCTCTGGATCCTCCGTCTCTCTGGATCCGCAGTCTCTCTCTGGATCCTCAGTCTCTCTCTAGATCCTCCGTCTCTCTGGATCCTCCGTCTCTCTCTGGATCCTCAGTCTCTCTCTGGATCCTCAGTCTCTCTCTGGATCCTCAGTCTCTCTCTAGATCCTCCGTCTCTCTGGATCCTCCGTCTCTCTGGATCCTCCGTCTCTCTCTGGATCCTCCGTCTCTCTGGATCCTCCGTCTCTCTCTGGATCCTCAGTCTCTCTCTGGATCCTCCGTCTCTCTCTGGATCCTCAGTCTCTCTCTGGATCCTCCGTCTCTCTCTGGATCCTCAGTCTCTCTCTGGATCCTCAGTCTCTCTCTGGATCCTCAGTCTCTCTCTGGATCCTCAGTCTCTCTCTGGATCCTCAGTCTCTCTCTGGATCCTCAGTCTCTCTCTGGATCCTCAGTCTCTCTCTGGATCCTCCGTCTCTCTCTGGATCCTCAGTCTCTCTCTGGATCCTCAGTCTCTCTCTGGATCCTCAGTCTCTCTCTGGATCCTCAGTCTCTCTCTGGATCCTCGGCGCTCCCCGACCCGACCATAAAACTCAGTGTAATGGGATTCCTGAGCTCTTCCACTTTCACACGGACAGTTAAGTGCACTAATCCATGACAAATGGTCTCATCTGATCCATGACAAATGGTCTGAGGGTGATAGAGACAAGAGGAGATGGGGGGGGGGGGGGGGTGAGGAAGAGGAGATGGGGGTGAGGAAGAGGAGATGGGGGTGAGGAAGAGGAGGAGGTGAAGGGAGGAAGCACAGAATGACCACTCGTGATGCAATGAAACACTGAAGTCATAAAACTGTTTCTGAATCAGTTTTGTTCTGTGTTGACTTGCAGCGTCGTTGTTGTTAAATAAATGAATAAACAAAATAAAATAAATACAAAAATATGCAAATTTTCTGACACAGCAAATGATGTCACAAAGATAACTGTGTAGCCCCGCTAAATCTTCACTATAATTATTATTTATTATACACATTATGTATTTTTTGTGTTCTTTTATTTTATATATATAAAAAAATCAATTTTACTTTTAAATATTAACTTTATATTTATTTTTGGGTTTTTTCTCCTTTTGTGTGTTTTTTTTTTTTAAATACCTGTGGTTATTGTCTGTTAAATGCTCATTGATTAATGGATGACTGCAAAAGAAAACCAATAAAATTCAAATTACAAAAAACACACACACACACACACACTCATACACACTTTAAAACCTCTGTGGGAGACAAACGTTGCCCAGGAGGTGTTTAGTTTGCGTCTCTTTCTCGGTCGATCCACTCTGTCTTAAACAAACGTCTAATTTACGGAGCCAACCTTTTCCTTTGGTCCCCACATGTGACACAGAACAGGTTGTTTATCTTCTCGGAACTAGCGAAGGTAATTATAACGTCATGTTGGCGTCTCAACGTACGAGCGGGCTCCAGGAGTGGCCAAGATTAAGTTCTGTAGTGAATGTGTTTAATGTTGGAATGAGTTATGATGGAACCTGGACACGTTAAAGACGCAGTGACGCCGTTCTCTGCCGTTCTCTGCTGTTCAGACTCATGTGACTTTATCCTTCTGTGGATGTTTCAAAATGGACGCTCCCCTCAGAAAGCATCTGGAACCACGAGGACCAAGAACCACTTTTGGACCAAGAACCACTTTTGGACCAAGAACCACTTTTGGACCAAGAACCACTTTTGGACCAAGAACCACTTTTGGACCAAGAACCACTTTAGAACCAAGAACCACTTTAGGACCAAGAACCACTTTTGGACCAAGAACCACTTTTGGACCAAGAACCACTTTAGGACCAAGAACCACTTTAGGACCAAGAACCACTTTTGGACCAAGAACCACTTTAGGACCAAGAACCACTTGGTCCAAAGGAACAAGAGAAATATACAAAAGCATTGGGTCATTTTGTTTCCGGGTCCAGCCCATGGATCTATTATAATAACTGGATAGAGTATTACAGCTTGGAGCTGAAGAACCATGTGCTCGGGGGATTCTCGAGCAGACTAAACCAGACTAAATTTGCGTTACCCAGAAATTTTCCCCATAGAACTCAATGTAAAGTAAAGAACCTGACAGAGAACCTGACAGAGAACCTGACAGAGAACCTGACAGAGAACCTACAGCTTTCATAAGGGTCAGATTTTGTGGTGATTTTAGTGTCCCTTGTCGTCCTGAACTTTTTTTTCTTAAATCCTTCGGTTTTCACTCACTGGATGTAACTTGGCCTTTACCCTTTGAGGACTTTATCTAAAGTAAAATCATGTTTTATCTTTAAATTGTTTGTTGTTGTTAAACTCGAGCGCTGTACAGAGACAGTCTGTTTCAGAGACACTTTCAGGTTCACAGAATCCTGCAGCGTGACTTTTAACTGTAGCAAAACCCGAGATCACATTTCACACATTTTAGCTTCGCTGAAGTCGCTCCCAGTTTGTTTTACAGATGATCCTGAGGCTGTGGTTATTTAAAACAAACGTGTGCAGCTCGTGGGGCCTCGACTCCAAGACTATAGCATATAAATATGAATAATACATCCTACAGAATTATTGTAATTGTCGTCTGGTTTTTAATGTGGTCTTGGGGCAGGTCCAATGAGATTTATCTATTTGTGTAAATGTTTAAATACATTATAGGTGTCTCTGATGCAAACACTTCTTTACTGCTTTAAAAGAACATGGACCAAAACAAACGGCAGTCAGAGAATTGAACCTTCAGTCTCTCTGCCTTCATGAGTTCCAGTCCCAGGTCCAGACATTTGTTCTGTCTTCTTTCGTATCTATAACTACTGAACCGAAGGCAAGTCATAAAAGTTAATTTTATATAAATATTTATAAATCTAGGGGCGACATTGCTCGGTTGGTCTTGGACCTAATCGTCGTGGGTCAGAAATGAAGAATAAAGGGATGAAAATGAATTGTTTTAAACGATAAGTTAGAGGTTCCCAAATGTTAGGAAAGAACCGCCCTCTCCACTTTTTGAACAAAACTCTCAGGTCTCATTGGACGAGCACGTATCACCAGGATGATTGACAGTTGGGAGGACCAGTAGTTTTTCCAGAAATAGAAAATCCTCTTCTTTACTTTTAAGAAAGTGCAAAAAGCCCATTTAACAATCTTTCCTTTCTTTTTCCACTGAAGCTGTTTTCATTTTGCTCTGGATGCTTCTGTTAGTTTGACTCTGTCCACCTGGAGTCAAACAAACAAAGGTAAAGGTCCATCAGTCTCACGTTCTCTCATATCCTACCGTATCATCCAGACTTCCTCTGATAGTTCCTCCGTGATCGTTGGTTCCTACGGTGCACTTAAAGGTGTCAGTCCCCAGCTCCGTTAGCGTCGTGCTGGTGACAGACTGGTGAAAATATAGAGCCACAATTAGTATCTGCCAGCTGTGCCATGCATCATCATTTGCGGTGTAGGCAGAGCCGGTGTCAGTGCACATGTCTGCCCCCCCCCACCCGGTCCCCCCAACCCCCCACTGCCCCCCCCCCCCCCCCCCAGGAGCCGGCTCGGTGCCAGCTCGGAGGGATGAAGAATGATTGGACTCCTTCGTGTCTCCCTGATCCCACGGCTCTAGTTTGGCTTTTGTCGGAGCTTCTGAGGCTGTGACGATGATTGTCCTGAAGGGGGCGCCACTGTGTCCTCCATTCATCAGCTTTCTTCTTTGTTTACCTGTTGTCGTGGCGATAGATGTATGAATCAAAATGACAGGATGTCCCATGTGCTTTACTAGACTGTAGTGGTACCATGTGTGCTATACTAGACTGTACCATGTGTGCTATACTAGACTGTAGTGGTACCATGTGTGCTATACTCGACTGTAGTGGTACCATGTGTGCTATACTAGACTGTACCATGTGTGCTATACTAGACTGTAGTGGTACCATGTGTGCTATACTCGACTGTAGTGGTACCATGTGTGCTATACTCGACTGTACCATGTGTGCTATACTAGACTGTAGTGGTACCATGTGGGCTATACTCGACTGTAGTGGTACCATGTGTGCTATACTCGACTGTACCATGTGTGCTATACTAGACTGTAGTGGTACCATGTGTGCTATACTAGACTGTACCATGTGTGCTATACTAGACTGTAGTGGTACCATGTGTGCTATACTCGACTGTACCATGTGTGCTATACTAGACTGTAGTGGTACCATGTGTGCTATACTAGACTGTACCATGTGTGCTATACTAGACTGTAGTGCTACCATGTGTGCTATACTCGACTGTACCATGTGTGCTATACTAGACTGTAGTGGTACCATGTGTGCTATACTTGACTGTACCATGTGTGCTATACTAGACTGTGGAGGTACCATGTGTGCTATACTAGACTGTACCATGGGTGCTATACTAGACTGCGGAGGTATCATGTGTGCTATACTAGACTGTAGAGGTACCATGTGTGCTATACTAGACTGTACCATGTGTGCTATACTAGACTGTGGAGGTACCATGTGTGCTATACTAGACTGTACCATGTGTGCTATACTAGACTGTGGAGGTACCATGTGTGCTATACTAGACTGTACCATGTGTGCTATGCTAGACTGTAGTGGTACCATGTGTGCTATACTAGACTGTAGTGGTACCATGTGTGCTATACTAGACTGTAGAGGTACCATGTGTGCTATACTAGACTGTAGAGGTACCATGTGTGCTATACTAGACTGTAGCGGGACCATGTGTGCTATACCAGATGTAGCTACCATGAGACATACAGTTTCTCAGTCAGGATGTGTTTCTCTGAAGCTGCAGAGATGGTTTTTCTTCGTCTCGATCCCAGAGGTTTAAGTGAAGTCCAGACCCAGATCCGGTCCAGACCTCCTGACCCGATGTCTGCAGGTTTTCACAGCTGTGAGCAGAGACCAGGAGTAAATGCCTCGATGGTCCCGTGTAGTCGTAATGGTTTCATCTTCATGGTGAAATGAAAGTCTCTCAGACCTTTTTCTATCAATCAATCAATCAACGTTTATTTATAGAGCGCCTTTCCTACACAAGGCAACGCAAAGCGCCTCACAACCCATATAACATCATGCATAAATCATCAAACATTAGAATTTAAGTAAACATAAAAAGACAGATTAAGAGCACAAGATATATAAAATCACACAAGTAGTTAAAAACCGTAAAAAATTAAAATCACACAAGGGATTACAATCATAAATAATCATAAATAATCATAGTGCATTAAAAAGATTAAAGATAAAAACAAATATAAAATCATTCACTTGTATGCACAGCTAAAAAGAACTGTTTTCAGTTCAGTTTTAAAAACTGCTAGAGTAGACGCCTGTCTCACACTCTCGGGAAGACGGTTCCAGACTCTAGCTGCATGAATCTGAAACGCAGCCTCCCCATGTCTAGTTCCGACTCTTGGCACTAACAGAAGTCCAGTCCCTGTGCTCCTCAGAGCCCGAGTTGGTTCATATGGCACCAACATGTCGCGGATGTACCCTGGTGCGAGGCCATGGAGAGACTTGTACACAAGTAAAGCTACTTTAAAATCTATTCTCTGAGCCACAGGAAGCCAGTGCAGAGACCTGAGGACCGGACTAATGTGGTCGTACTTCCTGGTTCTAGTCAGGACTCGAGCTGCAGCATTTTGGATGTACTGCAGCTGTTTTACCGCTTGTTTAGAGAGACCTGTGAACAAGCCATTGCAGTAGTCCAATCGACTGGAGACAAATGCGTGGATAAGAATCTCCAAGTCTGCTTTAGACACAATGTTCCTAATTTTAGCAATGTTTCTTAGGTGGAAGTAAGCTGATGATGTCACAGATGATATGTGGCTATTGAAATTTAATTTCTGTACCATGTGTGTAATACAGTAATTTCTACACACAGACAGAGATACACAGACACACACAGACACACTGACACACACACACACAGACAGACACACACACACACACACAGACAGACACACAGACACACAGACAGAAAGACACACAGAAAGACACACAGACACACAGACAGTCAGTCAAAGAGACAGACAGACAGACACACTGACACACAGACAGTCAAAGAGACAGACAGACACAGACAGACAGACAGACAGACACATACACGCAGACAGATACACACACACAGACAGACAGAGACACACACACACACGCGCACAGACAGATACACACAGACAGACAGACAGACAGAGACAGACAGAGACACACACACACAGACAGACACACACAGACAGACAGAGACACACACACACAGACAGACACACACAGACAGAGACACACACACACACACACACAGACAGACAGAGACACACACACACACACAGACAGACAGAGACACACAGACAGACAGAGACACACACACACACACACACACACACACACACACACACACACACACACACACACACACAGACAGACAGAGACACACACACACACAGACAGACACACACAGACAGAGACACACACACACACAGACAGACACACACAGACAGAGACACACACACACACACACACACAGACAGACAGACAGACACACAGACACACAGACAGAAAGACACACAGAAAGACACACAGACACACAGACAGTCAGTCAAAGAGACAGACAGACACACACACTGACACACAGACAGTCAAAGAGACAGACAGACACAGACAGACAGACAGACAGACACATACACGCAGACAGATACGCACACACAGACAGACAGAGACACACACACACACGCGCACAGACAGATACACACAGACAGACAGACAGACAGAGACAGACAGAGACACACACACACAGACAGACAGAGACACACACACACAGACAGACAGACACACACAGACAGACAGAGACACACACCCACACACACACACACACAGACAGACAGAGACACACACACACACAGACAGACACACACAGACAGAGACACACACACACACACACAGACAGACAGAGACACACAGACAGACAGAGACACACACACACACACACACACACACACACACAGACAGAGACACACACACACACACAGACAGACACACACAGACAGAGACACACACACACACACAGACAGACACACACAGACAGACAGAGTATATTTTCCAACATTATTAACACTACTGACACCATCTATTTATGGATTTTCAAACAGATTTTCAAACATTCTAATTGAATGATAAACAATATAAATATACATTATATAAAAATCTAATCTGTGCTCCTTCATATTCAACATCAGCAGATCAGTGTTTTCAGTTAAAAACACAATTAGACTTTTTGTGTAACTGCGTCTGGTGCTCCCCTGGCCTCATCCATCTGTAAATACGGACCTAAGTATGAGAATACATTTGTACCATGGTGTGGTAAGACCAGGCTAATCTAGTGCGGACCTCCACAGAGACATGTGTCCACATGATATACATATATTATATTTCTGTATATTTAGGTAAATTGATTGGATGAATTGTCCAGAGTCACCAAGTCCAATTTCCTCCTTAGTATCACTTACATAATAATATCTGGATCCAAACATTGATCAATCTCTTTAATATTAAAACAGCCATAACTGTTTTTAAATATCCAATGCTTTTTCAGTCTCTGGAACGAGCTCAAATCAAGCAAAGTATTAAACTGTATCAGACAAACATTTTCAAACATTTGTGAAAAGTGAGAATGACGTGTGACATTTCCTTAAACAGTGTAAAGTTTTAGTCCTAAAGTCATTGATATTCTCTGCTGCACATTCAGCGACCGGCCTTTACCAACCGCTTTGGAGCTTTGTCGTTTTACTTTTGTCAACACCTTTTGTGCATTTGGAATTCAGTTCTTGTTCTGATGTTGGGGCTGTTTTGCTCTGACTAAAAGTTCTTTCACTTCCTCGATGCTCAGAGTTGAGAGGTACATGTTTCTGTGATAAGGCGGCTGCTGAAGGACTCAGAAGTCCTGGATCAAGGACTTTACTCTGGAATTCACAGAGACTGATGTTGGCTCCTGCACCTCTGGCTGCGCTTCTGTCAATGAGCGTTTAGTAAAACACCAACACCTCCATCTCAGAAGTCAGGGTTAGGCTCACATCATGTCTGTTTGAACTACGACACGGGCGTCAAAGTCCAGGCCCAGGGGCCAGATCCGGCCCACAGATGATTTATCTTGGGCCTGGTTGATAATATTTGATTAGAACTGGCCGCACAGAATTATTGGCAGGACCAGGACCAGGGGCAGGACCAGGGGCAGGACCAAGGGCAGGACCAGGGGCAGGACCAGGGGCAGGACCAGGGGCAGGACCAGGGGCAGGACCAAGGGCAGGACCAGGGGCAGGACCAGGGGCAGGACCAGGGGCAGAACCAGGATTGCAGACCGCCCAGCCCCAGAGACGCAGAGGGGAGGGGGGAGCACACACCAACAAACCTCTGACTCTGATCTAATCCAATGAATCTAACTCTCCCACTTTCAGAACAGTTTTCACATCTGTGTATCGGCCTCTGTCACATGTTTAGATCAATCTAGTGTACTTATAGAGCCCTTTACAACACTCACGGCGGCCAAAGTGCTTTCTAATAAAATCACATAAAATCCATTAAGGCATGTTTGCAATTAAACAATAAAATGGTTTAAAAGAATTTAGTGTCACAGTGCTAAAGAGTTTGTGTAGCTCTCAGTCTGCAGAAGAGTGTTAAAAGTGTGCGACAGTCT